AGAGAGGGCTGGCCTGCCAGCGTGACCTGGACCGGTGGCCCCAAGGGAGGCGGGAGGTGGCCCTGTAGACGCTCCCAGGGAGCCAGGAAGGCTCGGGTCCGGCCCTGTCCTTCACGGACCATCCATTCTCCAGCCCGGGTCGGAGCCCTTGCTGTCGCTGAATTTAAGCTCCCTGTCGAGGTTGCAGACCTTCCCTGGGCCCTTGTTAAGTATATGCATGTTGATCTTAGGGGACTTCTGCCCCGCGGCGGCTTCCTGCCCCTCAGCAGGGGCTGGGAGTGAGCGTGTGGGTGCAGCCGCAGGCCTGGCGCGGGGAGGGGGGCGAGTGAAAGTCTGGGCTGGCCCCAGGCTGGAAATACTTGCTCTCAGCGGATACAGATCTCTCTTCCTCGCTCGCTTTCAGCACATCGTGGAAGAACTGACTAGAGCCAGTGATGCTCTCACACGGCGGGCTCAGGAAGCTGATGTCATTCCCTCCCCTGGGCATTTCCACTACGGCTGGGACAGGATTTAAAAGTTAATGAGCTGGAATCGACCCTCTAGGGTGGGTGCACACTCCGCCTCTTGCAAGTGTCCAGCAGCCGCCTGTGAAGCCCCTGTTTACCGAGCGTCTCTCCGACCAACCGGAGGCCGTGCAGGGTGAACGGGGTTTGCAGACCTCGGTCACTGCCCCCAGGAGCTTTCGGCTCGAGTGTGCAGGGAAATACTCCCCTTGGGCTGTGCAGGGCGTCAGGAAGTGTTTAGCGTGCGTCTGGGGAGCTGGGCGGCCCGACTCCGTGTGAACTCAGGCAACTGCCTCGAGCGTCCGTGTGTCAGACGGAAACGGGGGTGATACTGGGAACGCGGGGTGGACACTGAGGGTGGACAAGCCAAAGCCTGTACAGTGCTTAGAACAGGGCCTGGCGCCGCGTGCGCTCTATGTCCCCTTCTGTTTTTATTGTCATTTTTGTGGTCGTGATCACTCCTAGAACTGAGTCTGCGGAGCACAGGGCAGGGTTTCCGAGCTGAAGAAGAAAAGGCACGGAGGAGGCAGTGCTGGGTGAGGGCTAAGGAAATGAATAGGGAGACTTTTCATGGGCAGAGATGAGGGGGTGGAGAGCGGTCCAGGGAACCTCAGGTGCCCGGTGCTCTCAGGCCCCTTCAGGGAATGGTGAGGAGTCCAGTGGATGGCGTTTATTTAAGGCACAGTGACACGTTTCCTGGGCAGGTAGGCTGGGACCTTATCTTGGTGAAGAGCTGGCCACCTGGCTGGGCTGTCTGAAGAGGATTTGATTGAAAAGTATTTGCCAATCAATTCCAAGAGGAGTGTATTTAGTTTAGCAGGTTGGCCTGCCGTTTCTCTAAAGTGAGTCCATACCTGGTGTTTGCTACATTGCTTCACGGTGCGTGGTGGGCACCAACAGTTTTACATTTTTAAAAGTTACGGAATTGAATACTCACTTACAGGCAGACACTATGGCAAGTGATGCTGGTCTCGCAATGACAGCAATGACATAAAAACCTTTAGGATAAATGAAGTTAAAGGAGAATGGCTATTTAAAGACAAATGGCCGTACTTGGTGCTCCTTGGGGCAGAAGTGGGAGCTGATGCTCCATGAATTAAGCGAGGGAAACATTGGCTAACGGTGAGCCATATGCCATGCTAGCTTGTTAGCTTGCAGTGCTGTAATTTTATTATGTTGTTAAATAAAACTCTCATAGCAAAAAAAAAAATATATATATATATATATATATATATTTGTATATATGTTAGGATGCTGGCTCTCTAAGAGTTAGTTATTTGGGTCCTCGGTACCTGGCTTCAAAGTGAGTTAAGCAAGTAAGAATCACTTTAATTGGTTGGCTCCTAGTCAGTTAAACATATGAAAAGCGTGTGTCAAATGCTATTCTTTTGAGAAGGTTCCGAGGATGTCCTGAGGAGAAGCAGATAAAAGGGATGCACGAACTCACTGCGTAGAAGTCGTCTGGCGTGGCCCCGCCAAGCCCTGTGTGAGGCGCTCTGGTTGAGTTGATCAATTACAAGTCCAGGAAGATTCCTCCCGTTTGGATGTATACATGCTAATCTTGGGAGTAGGGTTGACAGCGTATTATTATTTTTTCCTCCGAGAAGCAGGAAAGGCAAATCAGGATATTTAAACGACGCTTTGAAATGAATGTTTTTCAGAAAATATTCTTAGCAGTATTAGAATATCCGGTAATGCATTTTTGAGTATTAATTAAATATAAATTTTATGTTTAGATAGAGTATACATTTAACATTTCATAACGGGCTCCCTTCCTCCGCTTGTAAAGAACAAATGAATACGTGTCTGTACAAAACGCAAGGAATGTGGGGATAGTGGAGACGGGGAGAGGAGACTCCTCCTTCCTCCAGGGCTCCCCCCTACCCCCAGGCCTTATATCTCAGACACGACTGCTGGCAACACTTGGAAGTCACCTGATTTTAAAAGGCAGGTGGCATACAGGGGTAGGGAAGAGCGGGGGTCTTTTTTTCCACGCTTGGCGCTTCTGTTGTCTCCGTATCTTCAAGCCGACGTGTCGTGGGGAGTTTCTGGGGCTTCGGAGTCACATTGCGTCAGGATTCTGACGCCCTCCCAGAGCAGCAGCGCCACCTGGCAGGTCCCTTACCTTCCTGAGCTGCCGACCCGCCGCAGCGACACTTCAGTGAGGCTTTCCTTCCGAGCTTTCATTGGGCCCAGTTGGCCTCGTCTCTGCTCTCCTCTTCTCAGCAGCAGACAGATCTAAGAAGATCTGGCATAAGACTCCGCGGCGCATTTTTCTCCTGGCGAAACGTGGAGGTTGGTGCTTTGATGACCCCAGCGTGTGTGCACTCAGCGGTGCCCTGGTTTATGGGGACACGTCCCCAGCCTTTGCCCACGCCCCGTCCTCAGGTTCTGAAAGGTCGTTGCCCTCAGCCGCCCCTGGAGCCTTCCTGGAATCCGTGGCCTCTGTGGGGTTTCACTTTGCACTTATGAATAATGTAGCACTGGGATAAAAATAAAAACAAAGGCTCTCCCCTTACAGTGTGAGCACGTGGGGCCTGCGTGCTAAGTCATGCAGGTAAGAGCAGACGCGGAACCCCTTGGGGGGCTGGCGGGAAGCAGGGGTCCCCGGGGCGGCCACCCTGCAGGAAGGAGGGCGGCACCCGGGAGCCGGGGCAGCTGTCCCTGAGCTGGGAAGCGCACTCTGCTTTGCAGACGTTGTGGCGTGAGCTTTAATGATCTAAGCCGAGCACAGAAGCTTTCCCCAGGCAGCCGTCCCTGCAGCAGGCGCCGTGGGCTTCCACGGGCTGCGCATCTGCGGGCCCGGTGCCCGGCTGCGTCCCACCCGGCCCGACCGTGTCGCGTAGCCTGCCCGGCGGGCACAGCAAAATCCCCTTCCAGTGTTGGGTGCTGAAAACGGTTTTTACAGCCGTTTTACAGCCTGTTTTACAGCCGGGTCGGTGTAAACAGATTTTGGGGGATGATTTGAGCTGCAGCTCGAGACAGGAGTCTGCGTTGGTCGAGTCCGGGCCTCACGTCGAGATCCTTCTTTCACGGTGGTTCCATTTTCTATGCTCTTTCTGCTTCGCGGGAAACGCGCTTTGGTTGGCCTTCCCCGTATCAGACCTTCATGTTTACTTGTCAAACAAACGTGCAGCGGTCTTACTCAAGGCGGGCGGATTTTTCCCATATTTATTTGAGTTTTCTTTCTTCAGGGAATTCCGAACTGAGGCGTTTTCTAGTCCTGAAGTTATTCCTCATTACATACGTGTCACATACTGCTCGCGGAATCGCTGGCAGCTCGGAGGAACTGTTCATAGAGAGGGACGCCCTGTCTTGTAAGGCCTGGGGCCGCCAGTCTCACCGCTGAAATGGGGGTGATTCTGCGGCTGGGACTGGCGAGGCAGTCCTGGCATCAGGCCAGAGGGCGGGGGTTCTAGGAGTCGCATTTGATTCAGGCTTTAGAGGAAGAGGGCCGGTGGCCTGGGCCAGAATTAAGCATGAAATTGCACTTGCAATGAAGGTGGAGTTTCTCACGATGGGTATGGCTCGTCACTGTCTGGCTGTCTGGCTCCTTCCGCCCTAGTGACAGGGACCTGCCCTCTGTCCCATTGCCAGCTCTTTCCCGCCTGGACCGCGGCTCTGTTCCTGCACACCTTACCCCCATGTCTCCCAGAGACCCTCCCGGCTCCTACCCTCACGCAGCCCTCCGGCTCGTTTCGGGAGCCTGTTCACTTCCTTCCCAGCACTCACCGCAGACTGTTTATTGTTAATCGCTGTCTTTGCCCCACAAGAAAGTCAATTCTATTGAGAGTGTTCGGGTCCTGAAACCACCTGTTGGCCACTACCCCAATCCCAGGGCAGCTGCCGGCCGGCTTGGCAGTTCCTTTTTGGCGACTCCTTTAAGAGTAGCTTGTCCTGCGGGACCCCGGGGGTTCGAGTCTCCTTGCTGTCAAGAGCCAGGCCGGCCCGTGTGGCAGCGCTCTCAGCCGCGCGCGTGTGCTCCTGTCTCACCGTGACTTTCGTGAGCATTTAGAGAGCAACCCGGGTGGTCCTCAGCGCCGGCGGAGAACGCAATAGGCCTCCCAGGGCTGTGGTGCCCACCCTGAGACGGGGCCTTCCAGCGTCCTCCAGGCCCTGCATTGCCTCACGGCAGAGCGTCCATGAAGGACAGGGTGGCCGGCCCACGTTGGTCCTGGTGAGCGCGCAGCGCGACCATGAGGGTGCAGCTGTCCCGTCCCCGGACGGGACAGCCCGGCCGGGGCACCTGTTCATGCGCCTGGAACACAGCCCTGGGCGGCCTCTGTGAGTCTGCCTTCCGTCTCTAAGCTCTGACCCGTCCTTAGGCCAAAGGCTGCAAAAGAGACTCGGGCAGCCTGGCCGCTGTCTAAAGACTCACATTTGTCACCACGACAGTTGCCCCTCAAAGAGGAAGAGGTGACATGTGAATTTGGTGAGTCATCTAGTCTCTTGTCATTCTTTGGTGGTGTTCTAAGTGTCGCTGTTTATCTGTCGCAGGTCATCTATTTGAAGAAGACACCAGAAGAAGCCTACCGAGCTCTCCTGTCTGGCTCCAACCCCCCCTACCTTCCATTCAGGTACAGCTGCCTGCTGGCGGGCCGTGGGCTGCAGCGCCTTGCCGGGGAGCGCGCTACCTTGGCGTTGGGGTCTTGTCTTTTTTCACTGTTATATGTTATAAGGAGTGAAATGAGATGGTGGTTTTTATTATCTCCTTTTTTTGCAGACTTTTCCCCCCTCCCTATCCAGTAAGAGTAGAACAGCTTTCTCTTTTTTAGGGATTAATTCCTCCCTTGGGTCCTCTCTAAATCTCGACAGTTTAAGTGCAAGGAGGGCCCGATTTAGGAGCTAACAACTGTGTCCAGCTTTGTTAGCGTGCAGTGATCTACGGCATTGATTCATCTATTCATTCTCTCCCCTCACGAGCCGTGGTTGAGCTCTGATCGAATGTCAGGGGCTGAGGATGTAGAATAAGACCCTCTAAGTGTCTTCCCAGAAGCAGACGCTCAGCGGGAGCCCCTAGTCCCCTGTTTCGCCCACAAATCTGGCTTTTATCCTGAGGAAGGAAGGCTGTCTTTTCATTACACTCTTGGGAAAGGACATTTTGAAGGATCACCTTAAGAAGGTTTCTTAAAATTTTAGGTAAACTTGAGGTTGTTTAAAAAATAGAAGGGAACATAATATATCCAGAACTCCCACAATAGTCATCTCTGATAGTGTTGTGAATGATTCTGATATTTTTGCCTTTTTGGATTATCGTGTGCCCAAATCTACAAGCTTATGGACTCCTTATTTTTGTTTCTGCTATTGTAATTGCCAACACCAGGGGGAGGAGGGAGCAGGAGAGATCCAGGAGGCCTCTTTGCTGGTCCCTGCCCCTTAGTCTCCTATAAACACAGAGCGTGCATCCCAGTGCCGGACACTTAGAGGTGTTTTTAGTAAATATTTCAATGAATAAATTAAGATGGATCCCTTAAGGTTCCAGGGATTCTTACCTCTGTTTCTCAGACCACAGGAGGGGGCATTACTAGGCATTGGTGAGGGGGTTGGTACCAAGGTGGGGAGGGGCGGTGGGGAAGGCAGCCCCCCTGTACTTGATATCTTCTCAGTGAAATCAGAGGGTAAAGCAGTGAGAGGAAGTATCTCCCAAGCAACCTAGAGTATGAGCGCATTAGCTGTTGAAGGACAGGTAAACAGTGACAGGTTATTAAGTGTGATGGTATTTTTAGCTTATATGCGCTAAGTAATTTGTTTCCTGAGAACTAGAATGTTTGAATAATTAGGAAGATCTGAATGGAAGGAAAGCTAGCACAAAAATTATTACTGCTTAATGGAGAATTAAATCATAATGATTACAGTGGCAGTCTATTTTTCTAAATTGTTTGTTATGCAAATGCTTGAAAATATAAATACATGAACATGGTTTAAGAATTTTAAGAAGAAGGTTTACAGTGTATCTGCTCCCTCTTACGCTCAGTTCCTACCTGCCCACTCTCTCCTGGCTGCCCCCTGTGTTGGTCCATTCCTATCCCGCTGGAGTTTCTATACGTGCATTTAAGCCAATAAAGAGGTGCATTCTTAGTTCCCCCATTTCTACCACAAAATGTAGCACACTGTATAGGCTATTCTGCACCTTGATTTTTTTCATGGAACTCACCTTGGATATCTTTTGATACTAGTACGTAGACAGCGTCCTTCCTCATTCTGTCTTATTTCTGCAAAATGTTCAAGGATACATTTTACCAGTCTCTTGACAGGTAAACCTTTGGGTCATTTCCTATCATTTTCATTGCCTTTTTTTAGTTTCCATGGCCTCAGATGTATTTTAGAAGAAAGAAACTGAGAAAATACTCTAAAGGAAATTACAGGATTGTTGTTGGGCATAAAGAGATTTTAGTAATCTCTTTGGTGAAGCTATTCATTATGTGACAAAAGCATGCAGAATGCAGATCTGAGGCATTTGTGCCTTGGCGTAGGCACCTGTTTCCTATTAACAGGTTGACCTTGAACGTAGCTCCAAGTTGTGCCTTTCTTGTAACTCAGGACACCAGGAGCTGTGTTTATATTCGGCTGCATTTCTAAATCCAGACTTTTCACGAACCATGCGTGTGAGGCAGAAAATAGGACATCGTGCATTTATGACTTAGTGGGAAAGATAATACTGCGAGTTTTCTGGAATTTGATGAAAAAAACTTAATTTTCCCTAATACTAAGATAAGATGGGAGTCGATGTCAGTCTGTGGTCCAGACTGAGGAAGGCCAATGCAGTGGCCTCAGGGATCACCTTCAGAAAAAGGTGGAGGTGGTTAAGCAAAGACGAAAACAAAACAAACCTCGTCGACCCAGACAAGAGTGCGGTGACGACCAGAGGGACAGGGTAGGGAAGCAGAAGAGGGTAAAGGGGGGTAGAGGTGGTGGAAAGAGACTTGACTTGGGGCGGCGAACACCCAGCACAATACGTGGATGATGTATTGTAGAGTCGTACCCCGGAAGCCTATATCATTTTATTAACCACTGTCATCCTAATGCATTCAATTAAAAAATAATTTAAAAACAGTCATCTTCACGCTGTTCTGGTCCACCATCGCAGCCTTGGCTTTCCTTTATAATCTGGGTTCCGTTGTCTGCTAGGTGTTTTTTTTTACACCATTTGTTGTGAAATTACACTTGTACCTTCACACAAGCCTGGACTTTCTCTCTCTCTTTTTTTAATCCATTGCTGTATCAACACATTAAACACTTGATGTCTTCAAGGACCTTCCAGTTATGTATCACGTTTAACTGTTCAAAATTTTCCTAAAACTGAAGGCCGTTTGAAGGCTTGTCGAAGTGCGGTTGGGGCCTCCGTGCGCTCTCTTCGCGGAAGTGCCTGTGTCCCCATTCGCGCTATTTTTAGTGTCTTTCTAACAAAGGGGTTTTTAAGGCCACTGTGAATTTAGGTAACGCCATTCTTCAAGATTTAGTCGTTTAAGAAACATGTACCTGAGCAGCCGCTCCTGTAAAGCCTTTCCTCGTTTTCCTGGGGAGGCTTCCAGGCCCTTGGCCTGGACTTCCCTGTCACATGTTGCCCATGCCCCGTTGCATTTGCTGTGTCTGCTGTTACAGCAAACGTCTGCGTTGCGATGATTTGTTGCGTGGCTGACTCTCCGCCACGCATGGCCGGCTCCTCTCCTTGCGTGCCGGAGAACCACCTGTGCGGTACTTTATTTATTGCTTCCTCCGTACCAGTCACCGTGACTGTCTCGGGGTCCCACGACGATCGGGATGACGAGGTAGCTGCCCCAGGGAAGGCGGCGTCCGGTGTGCGAGCGCGCAGGTTTGTGAGCGATTGCGGGGCTTTGTTGGAGCGACGAGGCACATGAGACGGGAACACAGAGGGCGGCGGCAGCGGGGCCCTGGAGCCGGGGCTTGGAGGGTATATGTTGGGGGTGAGCCTGCAAATGCTTTTCCTGTGAGGAGGAAAACGAGAGACGCTGTCTCGGCGCCGGTTTTCGGTGCTGCAGCTTCTCCTTTGCATGGCACGGGTTGTCTTCATGACGACCGGGGCGGGGGGGACACGCGTGCCCCGGGACATTTGCGGTGCAGATGCATTGTCAGAAAGGACTCCCTGGCCGAGTTTTTCTAGTTTTCTAGTTATCTTTAAAATATTGAAATTATAGTTTTCTGTTAATGTAGTTAAAAATCGTTTCAAGATGAGGCAAATTAAGAAAAAAAAGATTTGGGTAACTTGACTGCCTGTTCTTTTCTTTCTCAGTCTTATTGACATATAATCGACATATTGTGCTGTGTAAGTCTAAGGTGTACACGCAGGGTGTCCAACCTTTTGACGTCTCTGGGCCACACTGGAAGAAGAAGAATTATCTTGGGCCGCACGTTAAATACACAAACACTAATGAAAACTGATGAGCTGATGAAAAGGTCTTAAGTAAATTTACGATTTTGTGTTGGGTCGCATGCATAGCCATGCTGGGATGTGGTCCAGGGGCCGTGGGTTGGATACACTGGTACAGCATAATTATATATAGATTATATAGATTATATAATTATATAGACTATATAGATTATCACAGTAAGTTTAATTAACACCTGCCACCTCACAGAGTTACAAACATTTGCTTTTCTTTACGGTGACAGCTTTGGGGATCCAGTTCTCCTAGCATCTTTCAAATGTCCCGGTTGGCAGTGCTAACTGTAGTCATCACGTTGTATTTTGTATCCCCAGTGCGAGTTTATCTTAAAACTGGAAGTTTGTGCCTTTGGACCCCCCTTCGCCCCATCCCCCACCCCATTTACTGTCTGTCCGTGATTCCATTAGGTCTTGTAGACTTCGGAGAAGCTTTAACCTCTGGCTTGGTGTGACACCCAGGGGCGTGCGGTTTGATGTCAGGATGAGGGTGTTCCCCTCGACTATAGGTCGTTGTGTGAAACACTGTGCGTTTCACCTGTACTAAGCCAGCCAACGTATTTACCAAGAGTGACTTCAGCTGAAAATGAGAGGAAAGGGGCGCCGTTCGCCTCCTTGGTTCTTCGAGTCCGTCCATCTCTAGCGTGGACTTGGAGGTGGACCTTTGAGGGGGCAGCGGGCTCTCGGTCCTGGGGTCCGAGCCAGCAGAGTTTGGGTGGGCGGGCCTGGCAGGGATCTCGTCAGCGGGGGCCCAATTTCTAGCCTTCCGCCAGGTCACGTGAACGGCAGCTGGTCTGCCGTCCCGCGAGACCACACACTGTCTTATTCCCCGGTTGTGGCCCTAGCCATCAATGGCAGCGTTTTCCAAATCTGCCTTCTTGGGGGTTCACAGGACAGAGTTTGCAAAAACGCTTCAGTCTCACAAAAACAGGCAGCCAGTATAACCGCACACAGCTCTTCTTTTAGATCTCCTTGTGCTTTTAAATTCATTGTACACTCTCAGTTTATTGGTCCATGGTGTCAGCTTGGTACATTCTTTTGGTATCGATGGCGATGTATCGGTCTGCCAAAACCCAATTTTCCTGTCACGTATAAAATTAAATGGGAAATCAGACTCTACAGACAAGAAGTAATGCGGGGTCCTAGTTTCGCAGACAAGAGATGCCGTGGCAGGGA